CACACACACACACAACTGCCACCAGAGCTTTGGTTAAGGCCCCTGTGTTTGGAGACCCTTGGTAGGATTTGAAACTTCAGTGATACCTTTTGTCAGCCCTGGCAACCTGTATCCGACCTCCTGGGGCCACCCTGTCCCACCTCACCTCTCAAGCCCACTCCCTCAAAGAAGAGAAGAGCAGCTGATAGCGGACTTACAATGACAAAGACTGTAGAGCAGCAGTTCTCAACCTGTGGGTCGCGACCCCTTTGGGGGTCGAACGACCCTTTCACAGGGGTCACCTAAGACCATCAGAAAACACATGTATAATTACATATTGTTTTTGTGATTAATCACTATGCTTTAATTATGTTCAATTTGTAACAATGAAAATACATCCTGCATAGCAGATTTTTACATTACGATTCATAACAGTAGCAAAAATACAGTGATGAAGTAGCATCGAAAATAATTTTATGGTTGGGGGTCACCACAACATGAGGAACTCTATTAAAGGGTTGTGGCATTAGGAAGGTTGAGAGCCACTGCTGTAGAGGGAGTTGTGAGGAGAACATACTCAGCTACCCAATGTATTCTGTGTTTGAAACAAATAATAAAGATGTTTCTATTTAAACTAAGGCAGATTACACTGGGTGCCTGGATAAACTTCAATGAATCCACAAATCCCCTTCAAAATCCCTATAAATCATATGTAAAACAGTGTGTGTGTGTGTGTGTGTGTGTGTGCGTGTGTGCGTGTGCACGGTGCAAAACCTGTCTTCTCAGAACTCATTCACCCTTGGCTCTCCAGAGAAAGTGAAAAACTGAGCTATTTATAGGAGAGGGGTGAGGAACCATGAGTCCGTCAGAGCACAGTGAGAGGTAGATGAGCCCCAGGAGAACTGGAGTGGCTGTCAGGCAACTGGAAACAGCTTTGGAACAAAATCATAATTCACCTGAGGCTCCCAGAGGAGTGAAAGCTGTGGAACATATTTAGAGATGTTGGTGGCGATAAAAATACCAACCTCATGATTAAGAGGCGTGCTCACTCTTCTCCGTGGAAAGATGAGTACTTGTCAGTGGAGGAAAGGCTAAGCTTAGTTATAGGTCAAAACATAATCTCAGCTGTGGATATATAGACACTCCTGTGAAAACGCAAGGACGTTCTGCTAACTTCTGTGTAGGCAGACTACACACCGTGGTCGCTTGGCCTGAGGAGCCACCTGGCTTTGGTGATAACTCCCCCAGGGGCTCCTTGAATCCCTTTCATGGTGTGTTCATCCCTTTCAGCTCTGGAACCCGCGAGTGAGGGTTTCAGTCAAGGCCCCAAGCCAAGGTGAGCAAGGTAGAACACACCAAGAATGTTCCTCTGCTCCATGTTCAAGGGCGAAGGGAGCACCTACCTGCAGGAGCTACTTTCCTGAACTTCACAGGCCAAGTTCTGAGATGCCCTCATGTATCTCCACCCAGCTCA